TTTTCACCTGCTTTCGCGGGACTGACTCACCTTAGGACAGACGGTTAAAAACAGATCTAGAAACAATAGTTAAAACCTAAAGCTTGCTCTCCACGCACTAGAGTGAACCCTCTTTCCTGAATAAAAAAGCTCCTCTAAATATGCATGGGCTCCACTAATGTTTTCCTCCAGTTTTGTGCGCCTGAATAAATCCTGAAATATCTGAGTACATTTCCAAGAACAGTGAAGCTCTAAAGCAGAGTCGTGGAAGCCAGGTTCACCGTTGTTTGCCTTCCTGCTTTGAGTTGGTGTTCAAGACACCCAGGTAGACTCCTTCCTGCCTGTCTCTCCACTCCTGACATGCTCTTCCTCTTTAATACCTTTGATCAACCCAGGAGGGGGAAAACTTGCTTTGGGCAGGACCATCACTCTAACGCAGCAGGGGGACAGCTAGAGCAGAGGGGGTGCACGGAAGCGGGGCTGGATACTGTCGGTTTCACTCACATAGCAGATGTATTCCTAATTAAAAGGATTAGTTTATGAGATGTGATGACATATGACTGCAGCCTCAAACTAGTTGTCAAATGATGCATTTATGATATTTGTCTCAGTTTTACCCACAAATCGAGGAATTATTGGCATTTTTTATCATGCTGCAGATATGCAGCGTGGCTCTAGCTGCTCTTTGCTCCCAAATCACCTCGACGTGGGTGGGATCGGTTGTTTATCATCACAGTGAGGGAAGCATTGGTGACACAACCTCCCTTTGTGTGTTTATTACTTGATATTGATTCAGCAAACACTTTTATCCAAAGCAGCGTGCATGTAAAGAGGAGTGGAGAGTAACTATTCTACTGAGTCGGTCTGCAGCCACTTTTAGGGCAAGACTTGGAAAAGCTTTAGCAAGCTGAAGCATTGTCAATAAAAATGTCAAACTCTAAGAATACTTCTGGTGCCTTGATTTGTTATAACGTTATTGTCACGAAACGGGTGGTGTGGACCCAAAATGCAGTACCCAGGATGACACGGAGGCAGGGGTGAGGATATAAGTAAAAAGTCTTTATTTTGAAGGAGAGCCAAAAAAAAACAAGTAATCCAAACTGGGAGCAAAAATCCAAAAACCAAAAACAACCAGATAATTATCTGGGGATCTAGAAACTCTAGAAATAACACAGAGGAACAAAACTGACAGAACTAACAAACGTTAATGGACCGACACAAGACAGAGACAATACCGGGCTTAAATAGACTGGGAGACAAATTAAGGAAACAGGAAGCAGGTGTGTGGAGTGAGGGCTGGAGGGAAGGCAGGTGACACTAATCAACTCAATGGGGAAAACAGAAACAGAGGAGGGCAAATACCTGAACACTAAACTAAACAACAATTACCTAAAGACAGAGGGAAGGACTCACACAAACTAGCTGGAGGAGGACATAGCACATACACCCACACACACTGAGCTGGGGACAACGAGGCTGGAGCTGACCTGGGAGGAAAGAGTAGAAAAGATAACATCAGACACTAAACTGACACGCAGACAAGGACACATGAGGGCGCTAAAGAGCTACAACATAAGACACATAACAGGGATGCAGACAAGGACACATGAGGGCGCTAAGAGAGCACAAGGGGGGAACCTGGAGTGGAGCACAAGAGGAGCTGGGGAACAAAGGGACACAAGAGGGAATCTAGAGAGGGATGGAGGACACCAGGAGGCACAAAAAAGGAAGGGGCTGACGCAGACCATGACAGTTATAATGGGATTTCCCTCTTTCCTATTCACTCTCTCTCTCTCTCTCTTTCTGAACATTTTTTCTTTTAAATCACAATTGCCTATTTTTGCTCATTTTAAATATATTTTTAAACATTTTCTAAATGCTTTTTTTTATATTTTTACTTTTTTGTTTTTGTGAAGCGCCTCGTGATTTTTATCTTGAGAGGCGCTATAGAAGTGATATTTTCTTCATATTATTATTATTTTTAATGCTTTTTGAATGAATGGTGTCTTATTCTTTGCATTTTTTGCTAAATGTTAGTCGAGTCATTATTGTAGTTTGTTCAATCAAGAAACTTTTGTATTGTAAGAAAATGTGTCCTGCATTAAGATTGATTTGTTTATGTGAAATTTTAAAATAAGTTATAAATTAAGCAAATCACTCATAATCAGCTTGTTCAACCGTTTTTAAGTAAAGGTTTTCCAGCAGAAAAATCTTAAAATCATCTTCATCAATGAGAAATAATTAGTCAAAGAAAAAAATTAAAAAAGATTGGAAACTTTGCCATGGGCTGCATGGTGGCGCAGTGGTTAGCACTGTTGCCTCGCAGCACGAAGGTCGCAGGTTCAAAACTTGCCTTTCTGCGTGGAGTTGCGTGTTCTCCCCATGCATGCGTGGGTTTCCTCCGGGTACTCTGGTTTCCCCCACAGATCACAACATGCCCTATAGGTTATAAAAAAAAATGTAAATTTTTTTTGATGTCGCTTTGGATAAAAGCGTCTGCGAAATGAATAAACATAAACATAAACATTGTAAGCATAATTTACTTAAAATGTGGACAAATGTAGTTTGAAGGCATAATCGGCATTTAAAATAATTTAAGAAATCCTGTTAAACAACTTTTGCTTAACCGACTGGCAATTTTTAAACTCAAATCTAGAAAATGTAACCACATTTAGGAACATGTGGCTTGTTTCGAGTAGGGCTGTTTTTACAGTATCAACTAAAGACAGCTTACTGGTGGATCACAAACATGCTTCTGAGTGTTTTGTGTGCACAGTGATGGAACATTTAGGTTGTAAATTGTACAACATTTTTCTTTTTTTTAAGGACTTTGATCTGTAAACTTCGGACAACACGGAGCATGTCTGTTCACTTATCTTGAATCAGGATTTGAACTCAGATTGAACCTATCTGAGTCAAAGTCGTAATATTTAGGAAATAGTTTGATGTGCTTTTACAGAGAACATACATTTTCATAAGCTCTTCCAAGATAGCTGAGCCCCCAGTGCCAACTGCAACTTTGCTGACAGCTGCAATGACTTGGACGGATGTTTTTGCATGCAATGTTTTGCTGAGTGTGAGATTTATGTTAATGTTTCCGACACATAATTTGCAGCTTAAAGCTGCACCTTGTAGAGCAAGTATGTGTAACAAACCTGCAAAAAGTGATCATGAGCAAACAAAATTACGAGTTTCTGACTTTTGAAATGAATTTGCTCCTCTTAAGCGTCAAAGCTGGCTGGTTTAGACAAGATGCTCATATTTGCTAAAGCTAATTTGGAAAGGGCTTCGTAAAAGACGTTACAAGGTTACGGTTAGAGCTTATTCTAGTCTTGTGTAATGAAATCTAATAAACTAAATAAATATTAAATATGGAGGCATTTAAATCAAGTGTTGAACATTATCAGTAAATTGTTAATTCATTATGCTACAAATCCCATAACCCAGAACTAAGAACAAACAAGTAAGGAATAAATCAAAGAGTCACAGAAAGGTTGGTTTGGGTTTTTGGGTTATGCAAAACCCCACAATGAATTATTAAGTTCTCAGTTGAACAAATATAACCACAGAGGAGTCATCAGTTAATTGTTCGAACATTAAACTTAACATTATTTGAGCTGATGTAAAATCTCATATTCTAATTGTAGAACCGAGTCAAGACAGCTTAAAGGAGACGCATCATGCAAAACTCAGCTTTTGCATCCTTTAGTGCCGTCATATGGATCTCTACTGCTTCTATGAACACTCCAAATGTGACAAAACAGACATCTGGTTTCTGTCAGTGTTTGGTTTCAGGAATTAGGCGCCTAAAATGAGTCATTTTATAAAGTCCCCAAATTTGACATCACAAACAGAAATGTTTGCATAGAACGTCCTCTCACTACTCTAGGTTGGAGTAGCAGCAGCACGACGCCCCAGCCAGCACACATAGGTGAGCCCCGTATGGAATATGTCTGGACAAGCCATATGGGTCCCAGTAAGGTTTGTCCGCGGTTTCCATGGTAGCTCCACAGGCGTTTGAGTCAAACCCTCTGACAACCCATGCACGGCCCGTTAAAATCTATGTGGAACAAAATCTTTTTGGACAACCCCCATGGGGTCACTGTGGAAACTGAGGGCAAACCCTGTTGGGTCCCATATGGCTTGCCCATATATATTCCAAATGAGGCCCACCCATGTGTGCTGTCTGGGTCCAAGCCCCTTCTGGATATCGGAGCTTCTCAGCTTATAGCTCAGCTCAGTGGCCTAGTGGTAGAGTGTCCGCCCTGACACTGGGAGATCAGGGTTCAATTCCTGGTCGGGTCATACCAAAGACTTTGAAAAAATGGGACCCAATGCCTCCCTGCTTGACACTCAGCATTAAGGGGTTGGATTGGGGGGTTAAACCACCAAATGGTTCCCGAGCGCGGCGGTGTCTGCAACTCACCGCTCCCCCAGGGGATGGGTCAAATGCGGAGAACAAATTTCGCACACACACCAGTGTGTGTGACAACTAATGGGACTTTAACTTTATAGCAATCTGAGCGGTTGATAGGTGGGCGTGGCCAGCCCCAGCTTGGTTTCTAAAAATGACAGAGCCCTTAAATGGCTCATTCTGGAAGGTACTGAAACTCGTCAAAAGTAAAACTGCAGAATTGCGTTAATTCTGTAGGGACTGAACTTTGTGAACATGTTTGGTAATGACTTGGGACTATTATAACTTTATACCAAAATCATAATATGTCTCACTTGATTGTTTTTCATATTCAGAAGCCCATACTGTGAAGTATTATGCAGACACCACAGCTGTAAGTGCTAGACACCATGCCCACTTTTAAAGAGAAACTCTAATCTCATTTTGGAACCCTACACATGCAGAGAAAGACTCTAAATGGGACCAAAAATATGTTATATCTTATTTCCAGAAAATGTATGATGGGGAGGGAACACTGAAATAGCTGTATATTGTCTGCTGAGAACAAGAGTGTGGTTCTTAGTAATGGATTGTTTTGGTCTGTGTCTCGCTCCGTTTTTCCCTACAGGGTTGAAGCAGATCCATGCCCTGTCCATCCAGGGCAACTATGAGCTACGTATCGACTTGGAGGATTTTGAAAATAGCACAGCATATGCCCATTATGGTACCTTCGGAGTGGGCCTCTTCTCAGTGGACCCTGATGATGATGGATACCCTCTGACTGTCGGCGACTATTCTGGCAATGCAGGTATATACAATGCTGAAAAATTAAGGTTATTCCTTTAAGGTGAACCAAGCCTTGCTTTGAACATAATGTACATTTTTTCACCTGATTATTTCTTTCTCTGTGTTACACCCCTCCCGGCCTAGGGGTACCAGGAGGGGCAACACAAGTGTGGTGGGCGCAAACACGAAGACAATTAAAAAGTTCAAAAGGAGTTTATTAACTAAAATTGTCCCAGGCGGGTGTAAATAAAGTCTTTGGAAATAATAATGTCTATAATAACTGAAGACTAGGGCAAAGCCCCCCTCAAGCTCGGATAATACCCTCCTGTTTTGAGTACTGGTCCTCCTTTTAGTCCTGTGCTGCTCCTAACGTGGCCGGCGTCTCACGCTCTCCCGTTCTCTCAGTCTCTCTCTCTTTCGGGGGATGGGTTTCCTCCAGAAAAGATCCTCGTGTCATCTGTAGTCTTTAGTTCACTCGTCTCCACGATCTCCGACGGCAACTCTCCGTTTCTTTACGCTGCTTTCTTTTGCAGCTCAGCTCGGCATTCCTTCAGCAGCTCGAAACTCCCGAACTCTGTGATTGAAATCCTCTTCCTTTACACGACTCTGTCAAGCTCTCCTTCACTTCTCTCTCAAACTTCTTTTCTTTCAAGCAACTCCAAAATCCGTCCTTTCTCCACAAGCGCGCTGTCTGCAACCTCTCACCGACTTCTCACCGACTTCTCACCGACTTCTCATCGAACTCCCACTGAAACTCTCACCGACGGCCTCCATCGACTCCCTTTCCTTCCGCCTCGTCTTCCTTTATAAGAAGCCCTGATGAGCGCGGATTGTCTCCAGCTGGTGGCAGCGGGCCGGCAGGAAGGGTGCGTCTCAGCGTGCCTCTCTCCATGGTGCTGATCCTGTCTCAGCGGGGCCGGAGCAAGGAGCTGTCCTTGGTGCGGTGGTTAAAATGGAGCCCAGGAACACAGAGGTCATAACACTCTGTCTATTCTAATTGCTTAAATAGTGGTGGCTGACACATTCAGTCAGCTCTATTTCCATCCTGCTTTCTGGCATCACAGCGTACTCCTTTTACAGTGCAGACGGTGTGTCCGCTCGTTAAAACATGCAGTCATTTACACGTAGAGCAACGCAACCCGTATCTGTGTCTGTGCTCCCTAACCATCAGATCCAATCTTGTCACTTTGATTAAATTACTGCCAATTAATTGCGCTGCTTGACCTGCAGCGTAAACAAAAACCTGCCACCGAAATGAAGAAGCAATTTAAAGAACCTGTGGGGAACGTAGAGAGAACGGGGACAGATAAGAGAGATTTTGCAGGGAGGGGGTATGAAGAGGAAGGAGGTGGGCTGGAAGGAAACTAGGGTGGTGGAAGGAAGTAGACAGGTGAGAAAAGGAAGCTACAAGCTAAATCTGGAGGAGACAAGGGACACATTAAAGGGCTAGCGTGCATTTGAGGCATTGCATATTGCCAACCTCCTTTTAAGCAAGACTTTAAAAATAAAATCTTGTCTTGAAAAATTGTAGCGATAAATATAGATTTATATCTATATTTCAAATGTGGCATAAATTTAGCTTGTTTATGATCTTATATTAATTAATTGGGGCACCACCCAGCCTTTGGAGATCAGGGGTTCGATTCCTGGTCGGGTCATACCAAAGACTTTGAAAAAATGGGACCCAATGCCTCCCTGCTTGACACTCAGCATTAAGGGGTTGGATTGGGGGGTTAAACCACCAAATAGTTCCCGAGCGCGGCTGTGTCTGCAACTCACCGCTCCCCCAGGGGATGGGTCAAATGCGGAGAACAAATTTCGCACACACACCTATGTGTGTGACCACTAATGGAACTTTGTTAGTGTGACTGGGAACACTCGAGGGGAAATTTAGGTTCTGTTGAAGGTCATCAGTCTAAATTTTAACACCACAAATTAGTCTGAAAGCTGAGTTCTTGTCAGAATGCGTCGGCTGTTCTCGAGATCGCTGGAAATAATCAGGTGTTATTTAAGTTTTGTGAGTTTATTACAACATCAGTTACATTGCCAAAAGGTCCAAACACAGTTTATAGTTTCATGTATGGAATTAAGAAAATTGTTAACCCAAAGCTTTATGGCAGTGATGGGAAATAACTGATCCGTAATAAAGTGGAAATTTGGTGACACCAGGATTGTAGTAACTATTAATAATGATTTCTGAAAGGAGAACCAAGGGAGTGTGTGTGTGTGTGTGGGGGGGGGGGGGGGTCGTTATGGCAGAAGAAGGGGATCTTGAAGGCTAACGTGAATCTGGGATCGAAATAAAAACACGCCATGAAGAAATGGACTGATCGGAATTCACTAATCGGGCTTAGCACTAAAGTCAGCCAGATGAAAATGATTCACAGACCTTTTTTCTCATCGCCAGAGGGTGGCCAAGGGGCTGAGGTAGCCTTGGAGTCCTTGCTCATGAAGAGGCTTCTGGGACTGTAAGATTTTGGCCCCGAGTTGATCAACGGAGTCTGTTGAGTTCAGGAGAATCTCGTTCCCCGGGAGTGGCTGGACTTTAAGGTTTCTTTACTTCAGCTGCACCGAAAATGTGGAATTCAGATCGCGGGGCCAAATTATTCCAAACGGAGCCGAATCTTCAAACTGTTCCAAATTGCTCTTACTTTTAATATGAAAACTAGACGAACATGCAGACTTCCGTCCAGCTGAATAAGCAAACTAGAACATATCAGGACCCGCTGCAGTTTCCTTATCGCCATGGAGTTGGAGTTGAAGATGCCATCATCCAGCTGCTTCAACCAACCCACTGTCATCTGGACAAAGCAGGCAGCACTGTGAGGGTCATGTTCTTTGATTTCTCCAGTGCATTTAACACAATCCAGCCTGATGTACTTTGCCAGAAACTCCAGAAGACACAGGTGGGGGCCTCAACTATCGCCTGGATTAAAGACTACCTGACAAACAGACCACAGTTTGTGGGGCTGAAGAGCTGCACATCAAACCAGGCGATCAGTAACACTGGAGCACCACAGGGGACTGTACTCTCACCATTTCTTTTGACCCTGTACACCTCAGACTTCCAGTACAAATCAGAGACCTGTCATCTACAGAAATACTCAGATGACTCTGCAGTTGTCGGGTGTATCAGAGATGGACAGGAAGCTGAGTACAGAGAGCTGGTGGAGTGCTTTGTGGCATGGTGTGGAAACAATCATCTGACCTTGAACGTGAACAAAACTAAGGAGATGATTTTAGACTTCAGAAGAAACAGGGTGGAGTCAAACACTGTTTCCATCACGGGAGAAGAAGTGGAGGTGGTTGAGGAATACAAATACCTTGGAGTTCACCTGGACAACAGACTGGACTGGAGAAAGAACAGCGAAGCCGTTTACAAGAAGGGACACAGCAGACTGCACTTCTTGAGGATGCTTAGGTCCTTCAATGTCTGTAGCAAGATGCTGCAGATCTTCTACAAGTCTGTTGTTGAGAGTGTAATCTCTTCAGCCATCGTCTGTTGGGGTAGCAGCATCAGAAGCAGGGACCTGAAAAGGCTCAACAGCCTAATAAAAAAGGCTGGTTCTGTTCTGGGGACGACTGTTGAACCGCTGGAGGAGATAATGCAAAGAAGGATTCTCCAGAGAATCAAGAAAATGATGGACAACCCTGAGCATTCTCTTCACAAGACTGTCCGACAACAGAAGAGTGTCTTCAGTCAGAGGCTTCTTCAGTTTGGCTGCAACACTGACCGCTACTGGAGATCCTTCCTGCCAACAGCCATTGTAATATACAACAACTCTTTGATAGCTTGATTATTATTATTATTCTGAGCTACTACAGCAATCAATTTCCCTCTGGAATCAATAAAGTATTTTTGAATTGAATTGAATTGAATTGAATATCACACTTGCAACTTCAGAGTGCCGGTCTCTGTTGGACTTACTAAGTGGAGCTGGCATGCCTGGAGGTCTGCTTCCAGTTTTTTTTTTTCTTGAAAAAAACATGATCAGAAACCTTTTAAAGGTATGGAAATCTGGAAAAAAAACATTTTTAAACTATTATTTCTGATTATAATCGGTCACTCTTGAGCTTTTCATGGAGGTTGGACATGAAATTAGTTACTTACACATATATCCAATCCACCTGACAGATCTACATGAGAGACAGAACATCTCAGCTAACTGGTAGCATTAGCAACTCAACCACATGGCAGAAGCTCCTCCAAGCTTGTGTTATTTGTGGAAATAAAACATCAACGTTGCAAGTCAGCTGTAGAGTCATGTTGCTTTTTCCACAAGGAAATGGCTTTTCTCCAGTGTATCCGCTGGTGACATTTTTACTATGATGTTCTATCAAAGATCTTGTCACACGATCACAGCAGTGCAGTTTCTTTGCCTCTTGGTAGGTTGATCCAAAAATCTGACGCTCGATTCATTCTCAACCATCTCCTTTTCTTTGCAGGTCTGGTTCTTTGAAATAAAGAAAAACCAAACTGTTAATCCGGTTACTTTCAGAAATGTTCTTCCACAAACTCATGTTTCGCAAATGCATTCATCCAAAGCAAAACTAACCAGAGTCTCAGCTCTGCGAGTTAAATCAACAAACTTCTTCCAGGGACGTTGTCCTGTCGGTGACGCCTCACCTCTATCCAGCAACCACCTCTGGAATATCCAAAATACAATAAATCAGTGGAAATGCTGTAATAAACTGCTGTTAAAATTACAAATACTAATTCTGGTAAACAAATAATGGGCAGCTAAGCACACAGTACATTTATAATAAGTTAAATCTTCTAATTTCCTTTTGAAAATCACACCGGCAGTCCAAATAACTGGTGTTATTATGATTCTGTTGCAGACATTTCATTCAAAATTTGTTGTCCAAAGCGTGTGGAGACAGTTTGAAAGACAAACCAAATCCCACCTCACGACCGAAATCCGTCAATGGCTCTTCGTCAGATTATATATTCACATAACACAGGATGGCTTGCAAGGCTAATAGCTATGATGATTAGGAGATTCATTTCTAAAATTAATA